AGAAATATTTGTACACTCTCTCTGCTACCCTGCAAAGATTCAGCAATCCATGCATTTGTTTATCTGCCAACCCAGCCTCTCGCTGGAACGCTTAATGTTGTTTAACTTGAAATCACTGACTGAGGTCAATTTGACACTAATTGAAGCAGAATAAATGACTGCGATTTCTGTGTTTTCAATACTTTGTAACCTGAAGAGAACTTGAATCATTCATGAATCATCTATCATTTGCATTCAGACCAAATGCACTATAAACATGTTTCCACATGTGCTCATTCCACTGTGGCGCTGCCAAACAGCAGTCGGAATCCTGCTGAAAGGAAGCTTATAAGATCCCTGTATGATTTTAAGGGGAAATAGCTCTTTTAATCTACGAACAAGAGTCCCAAATGTTGCATATTTATTGTGCCCTTCAAGTTGTATGTATGTTTTTGAGTTAATATTTCATATCTGAGCTTAACCCTGGGAGTTTTTTTTTACCCTCTCACAAAATTGGGAGAGTTTATAGGGCAAAATCTGATTAGGTTGAATGTTGTGTGCGCTTGTGCCTGTTTCACGTACATGAGCCCCCTCAGTTTTGAATGTGGGTGTGGACTTGCAGACCTCAGCTCAGCTCCGAGATGTAATCTGATTTGCAGAAGGGAATGGGTCGTTTCACATGACTGGTTTAAAAGACCGCTGGCGCAAGGCTGTGCCAGTGTCCCTGATTTGTCTGTGTGTATGTGCTTTTTATTCGCATGCTTGTGCATACCGACGCACATACAACTATTATTTGTTTTCACAAAGCACCGTGTGGAAATATGAGTGTTTGTTGGTACAGGCTGCCACACAGTAGAAATGGAAAGGTGTTGAAGTTTGTGGCTCAGCTCAGTGAAATCAGGCTGCTGCATTTATTCCATTGGCCTTGGTTTTAACTGTGATTTGTTTGTGGAAGGTTATGTGAAGTAAGGCCACCGCTAATTAAGAGCCAATTACACATCTGGAAATAAGTATAGAGCTGTGGTTTGCTGTCCGATGCAGGTTTTTGTTTACAGTTTTCTGTTTACACATATCTCATGATGAAAGGTTTATTTTGAACTGATGGACAATCATAATCAATGACAAATAATTGAAATCATCTTATACAGTGAGTTGCAATAGTATTCATAACCTTCAACCTTTGCACATTTTGTCAGGCTACTGCTACAAACTTTTGTGTACTTCATTGTGATTTTACATTGGCTTACATTGGCATGCATTGTTAAACCAATGCTCTGTTGAACGTCCTTTTTGCAATAACCACAGCAGCAGGTGTTTTGGGGTATGTCTCAACCTTCTACACATCCAGACTGCAACTGAAGTGTCCGCAAATTGTGTTTAGAGAATAGCCAGAGCTGAGCCAGTTTAGATTGGAGAAACATTTTAGAATATATCACCACAAAGGCTCAATTAGATTAAGGCTCCCCCCACCCCTTTTAACCTTTCATTTTTGTGTAGTTTATATATTAATGTTTGATGTGTTTTTGGTTTTATTCAGAGGGTTTTTATTTATTTCATTTCATTCTCTAAGGATGCTTTTTGTTCAGCTTATAATGTCTGCCTGGGTTCTATATGCATTCTAATCTTGGTGTCTGGGTTGCATCTTTAATTGATTTTGATTGTATCGTCATATCATACACATTTCTGTTCACCCCAACCATTTCATCTTACCTCTGGCTAGATCGGTGTTGTTTTCCTGTAGGAGGTTAAGCTGGACTCTAGGCCCAAGTTTTTTTTAACAAGGCTTTACTAGAAATACTGTGTTCTGTTTCTCGTAGTCTGATTTATTCTCTCATCAACTCGCCTTGCCTTGCCCTTCTGCAGCATGATGCTGCCGCCATTAGGTTTCACTTTGGGTAGTTTGCTGATGCCTAATAACATTGTTAGTTTTTTCTACCATTCACCGCATGTTACATGCACAAAGAAATCATTTAATTTTCCTCACATCTAACCATATCAGATTCTTTCATATATCTCTTGCTAAAGGTAAAGTGCTTTTATGACATTTTACTCTTTTTCTTTTTTGTTCTCCAATGGCTTTTGTCTTTATGGAAGTCCACTTCTTCCATGCCACAAATAATAGATAATGTTAAAACTTTGACAAACAAAGCAGAAGTGAAGAGATTCTTTAATCAAAGCTGTTGATCCCTGCAGCTTCTCCAGACTTACCATGGGCCTCTTGGCAGCTCCTTGGATTAATGAACTTGCCAGTTTAGATGGATATCTATGTTGTGGTAGGTTTGTAATTAAGTTGTATGCTTTCCATCTTTTTTTTTTTTTCAGAAAACTGTGGATTTAGCTCATCGTGAAATTTTCATTAGAGATGGGTCGTAGGACGTAACCGTGCACAAGTGTTTCTGTGTTCTTTGGTCTGTGAAAGAGTAGAATACATATATTTTTTCAGTCTCAAGATCATTTGTGGTGGTTGTGTCAAAAACAAGTAGAAGACATGAGAAGAATTAAACGATGTTTGTTGCCACAGGATTCTCAGTGTTTCCATGTATGGTACAGTTAAAAAAAAAATGTAAAACAGATCTTGTATGTGAGACATGATCTCAGAGTTTTCACGCTTGTCTGAGCTAAACACTTTTGAGAGTGTGCGGTTTGTGTTTGTGTGTTTTCTATCCCGTCTGTGGCAAGCTCATAAGCAGGAAGCTCTGATCCCATCAGGCGTGTCAGCAGGGGCAGCTTTTCATAAGGTAGTAATCTCAGCACACAAAGGGGTGTCCAATATTAGAGAAAGCCCCCACCTTTTAGCTAATCAAGACCTGACCGACCCCTCTACTTGCTCACCAACCTCTCTAAACATTACCTCATCTTGAGGCTCAGCTAAGCTTCATGCACCTCCAGTCATCTGGTGTACATGATCACTCACTTAGCACAGTGTGATAGCTTGGAAACAAAACCCGAAACACAAGAAAGGGCATAAAAGAAGCAAAAGCAACACACAACTACCTGTGGTGTCTAGTGCCAGGGAAAGGTATTTTTAAAAGGAAAGAATCATTTTACCATGTCTTCCAGAAAGTCTGTAAAGCAATTTCCCAGTATTCAGTTTCTCTCCCCACCGTCTTATTATTGCTGTTTTCCCCCTCAACTGCTGGAGCCTTCAACCTGAAAGGAGGTTTTTGAGTTTGGGCTTTGTGTCACTCGGAAACAGTGCATTTGTTGCCAAGGGAACTTGTCTGGGACAGAGAAACTTAGACACATCCAGCACCTTTTGGACTGGAGGAAGAGGGACCTGAGCAGTGATCAGTTCAGCGAGTGCAGCCTCAGGCTCAAATGCATTTGCATCAATGTGTTGGCCAGTACAGACCTGATCCTGGTAACTTTATATAGTATTACAGCTCAGATTAGTATTGTGTAATTAAAAAGTAGAGTGTTGTTGGATACCCTCCGTATACCTTTTTATTTAACAGAGCTGGCAGAGCTAAGTCTCTAATAAAAGTTTTTCTTTTGAATGCCCTTTATGGGGAACTGCAAAAGACCTGAGCTCTGCTATGATCATAAAGTTTCCTCTGGTTGTGAAAGACCAAGACTATTAAGACAGTTCTGGTAGCTCTCAAGATAACTGTTGTAATTTGCTGCCAACATGAAGGAATCACAATGCATGCTGCTCTTCAAAAGACGTTAAATAACTGTATCAGCATTGGCATGACTGAAAACAAGTTATGGTTGATATCTGTTTTAAAGTATAGGGGCAGGGGAATAAAATGAGAAGATTTAAAATCTTAGGGTAAATCAACAAATTTTTTAATGTTTATATTTAACTTTCAATTTTTTTTTTATATATTTTTTTTTTTTCATAACACTGAAAAAGGCCATTATGTGAAGTGCACTGTAAATAATATACAGTATTATCATTGTTATTTTTAGAACAATTATTGTCATTAGTACCACCGCCAACATAGCGTAGCACCTTATCTCTCTATTATGGCAACTCTCAGACTGCAAAACATGCAATCTCCTCATTTTGATGAGGTGGAACCAAACCGCTTTGCACGTCTAAATATTTGTGCAGAAATCTTTGTAGATTAAGGCCATTTGTTGGACCTGTAAAAACAAAATTACACATGCAGTTTAGCGCCATTTTTATTTATATATTTTAAAGATTTGGCCCTACTTGAAGTAATAATGGACACTTTTATTTTAAATGTCTATAAAAAAAAAAAAATAAAGACTGTCACATCTTGTAAGGGAATCATTGGCTTCCTATTGTATTTTGTTGTTCTTCAGCACTCTGTGCCAGGTTTCAAAAATTTATTATCTCCTGAGAATTATACCAAAATACAACAAGCAGAATACATGAAAGTCTACTTTGCCCTTTCTGTGACTAGGGAAAGAAAATACTAGACATTTGTAATGTGATCTAAGATTAATGAGATTAGTCATTTATATTTGTTATAATATAATAGAACTCTTCACCATGATTGTATTTATTTTTAAAAGAGTTTGTTAAATATTTGGGAAAAAGTACTGAATTTGTATTTCAGATTCAATATGCACAGTGGTGGTAAGTCGGAAATTGAAATATGTTCCTTTACAGAGTTAATTGTTAATAAATCTATAGCTTTTATGGAATCATGAAAAAGTTTTATGAAATTACCAAATTCAGACCTTTTAGTAAGTCATATACATGACATCAAGCATCAAATAAATGCAAAATGTGAATAAAACTAACAACAATACTCAGTTTTTGGCCAAACATCAGATATTCAGCTCTACAATCTGTGGTTGTTATTTTAGTGGTTGTTTGAGCTCTTTCATAAATCAGTCTTCCCATTCAATCTTTGTCTTATCTTTGGTTACGTTTCCTTAAAATGAGGCCTCAGTCACTCCCTACCTGGAACTGCGTGAAAACAAGCTGGGGCAAAGCTGACCTAGGCTGGATTTTAATCATCACATTTCTCTTTAATCTATAATACCCTCCCATCAAGGAATGCCCTTCTGAATCATCTTATTCTCACATCTTTTATCTTTTTCAGGCTACCCCAGGTGAGCAGGGAAAAGAGGCTGACTAATGGAAACATAATCTCAATGGTTTTAGAAGGTAAGGATGTCTCTGATTTATCTTCAATCATCCCTGAATGGGCTATTTGTTTACACACATTGCAGCCTTATTACTAATTCTGACAGTTGCCACACACAGCTCCAATCTGTTGGGTACTGTAACAGAGATTGTGAGATGCATAAGGTCATTGTGTATCATCAGGGTAACAGCACAGGATTTATACTTTTTTCGCTTTTTAATTGTGTAATTAAAGTCATGACAGCAAAGTGAAGAATGCAATGGCACTGAGATATCACTTCAAACACACATTCTGTCAAGAAGCTCAGATACTTTCAGTGGAACTGAATAGACATGCTTTGATGACCCACCGCAGAGTCGGTGGCTTTCAAAGGAACCCGTTGATGGGATTGTGCAGGGCATCCAGAGCGCTGAATGACAGGTACTGTATCAGTGCGTCTCTCAGAATGGTAGTGGGTGTTCTCAGTGGAGGTCAAACAGCTTTGACCTCAAGATCAGTACGCATTTTCTATAGTTGTTTTTCAGCTCATAAAATCTTCTTCTACCATCTAGTTGGTTGTCTTAGTAAGTGAAGGGGAACAGTGTATAGGTGGCTGGGCGCCAGCAGACGGGTACAGTAGATGGGCTTATGGAGGAGGGTGATAGGGGCTGGCAGCCGTAACTGCAGCCCCAGGCACAAATAGACGTACATGGACAGGCACATACTCAAAGGCAGGTTGGGACCTGGATTCTATGCACTGATGCTGCTCTCATGGCTGCACTCCAAGATGAGGCACAGGAAAGAAACGTGGGAAGGGAAAAACCAGACTTGAAGCCAGACAAAGAAAGAGATTCAGAAAAAAAAAAAAGCTAAAAAAGCAGAATCTAACCAGACAGCAAGGAATGGTAGTAGATTTGAACAAAATTCACTGATTGGATAGTGTGAATAGATCTGTGAGTTAAACCAAAAGGAAACAAGGAAACACTGCAAGAGTGAGGTCACATCCTTTGCACTAGAGGAACGTGACTCCTTGCAGGTAAACCAGTACATCAGTGCAAACAAGCAGAAAAGAAGATGAGAAATAGTGATGGATGAGTATTTATCTTTTGACACATTGTTCCTTCCCTTTCGACGAAGATGGGGCGGGACGAGCCGGTCACACCACTTTGCTGCCATAACAGCTGCAGGGTTGAGTGGCTGCGGTGCGGGGGTGGATGGCATTATGTCATTTTTTTAGGAAGATTACAACAACAAGAACAGGTACAGCAAAGTCTAGGTTTTCAAAAGGCCACCTACCTGCAATACGCAATCTGATTTCACTCTCTGACCTCATCTTTATCTTTACCAATTTCTTTTGTAGGGGCCTCTTCAAAACTTTTAGATAAAATTTGTATAGATATTTTTTTTAGGCGCCGTTTTAAACTTCTAAATTAAATTGGTTTACATAACACACATAGATGTTCATACATAGATGTTCTTTCCATCTTTTTTTTAACCTTTGAAACGACTTGATGAGGCTAATGTATATGTGTTTGTATATATTTTTAAAAACCTTTTTAAATTAATTCTAAATTCTAGGGCTGCACTAGCGATTCTTCTGCTAATCGATTAATCTGTCGATTTTGTTCCTGATGAATCGATTAATAATCGGATAACCAAAGGTTTCTTAAAAAAGACTTTTTATCAAATTAAACCAGGTGAAACTAATACGTTTCAACCTTAGGACAAAAACCTTTTTTTTTATCTTAAATGCAAAACATATATTTTTTACAATCTTGGTATAATTATTGCTCTAAGTGCCAGCTCTGCCAGTGCCAGCTAGAGGCATACTTTGGAGTCTTTATACTCAAGGTTATGATTAATCAATTACTAGATTAGTTGACAATTATAAAAAAAAACGATTAATCTCGATTGATGGTTTCAGCCCTAATAAATACAATAATTGAGTTTCACCTTACTTGTATAAATACATCTTATTGACGCATGGGGTCTTGTAAATAACATTTTTTTTAAAGAAACACAAATTACTAGTCGGTATTTAAGTATTTGACTTAGAAAATTAAATAAAAGTCAAGAGATTATATACTTTTAATGTAATATAACTTTTAAAATGACTAGAAATGTTAGGAGGATGTCCAAGCATGTGTTCTTTTGTGGCACTAGTCCATCCTAACTCTCTGTATCATGTTTCCAGGATGGCACCTAATAACGAGTTGGACAGCTGCCTTGCATCCCCTTGAGGCAGATGTTCGCTCTTGGAACGACAGATGACAGAGGGAGCTACTTCTTTGACAATCTAGCTGTCAGGATCAAGCCAGGAGTCGAACTTGAAAAAAAACTGTGACACAAACTCAAAGGCAGAGCGGAGAAGATTCAGCAGCTCAGACACTGTGGAACACATCTGTCAACATCTGGATACACGCTCAGTAGAAAAATCGATGTAATGAATGTACTGATGCCACAGTTACATCAACCATCGACACATTGTTTGGCTTTCTCATTTTTTCCTGAAATGAACTTGGATAAATATTGTTTCTGCGTGTGCATCTGCTCCTGATTTTCTGTATTTTTTCATACTGTGACATTTATTCTTGACATGGTATAAACCAACTGCTGGAAATTTTAAAAGATATTAATCAGATGGACTTTAAACCTTTATACTATTGTTTTCATATACAAAGTACTTAAATTCTGTTTAGTGTCCTAGAAAAAAAAACGTTCATAGCCATTGAACTTTTACAACCACAAATCTCAAAATATTGTAATGGGATTTCATATCAAACCAAAACAAACAAAAGTCGTCCATAGATGCAAAAGGATGAGGAGGCATGGTTTAAACAGTTTCCCAGGTAGAAATCTGCAAAGTGAGGCATATATATGCATTTTACTTTCTGTTTCAGTTAAACTTTCAAAGTGTTTTTTTATACCTCTATCAACTCCCCTCATCAAAGAGGGACATTTTTGCGGTATAGCTTGAACTTTTTCACACTGAATGGTGAGTGTCTGCATAAGTCCATTTTGAAGTTTACTTAAGGTTCCTAATTATATTTAGGTCTTGACTTTTATATTTCAGCTTATAAATATGCTTTCATCCAAATGAGGGATCTATAGACATAATTGATCTGAATGGATGTTAATGGTCTTTGTCCTTCTGAAAGTTAGCCCTGATTAGCCTCTGCTCTAATCTCCAGTATTCTGCAGTCTCTAACAGGTGGTGTTCCAGGATCATCTTGTACAGTATGTAGCTCCATCCATGTTTGCAGTTACTCTGACCAGGTCCTTGCTAAACAGCTGCAAGCCACTGCTGCCATAGTTTGCCATAAGGACAATTCAGTTTTAGTGTTCCACGTTTTGAAGGCGGATTATATCTTTTTTGAAGATGATCAGAGCAAAGGAGGATTAAAAATGTATGCATGCTGCACACAATGCATCCTTTATTTTAAAGTTTACAATTACTCCTTCTCTGTGTTCCCAATAAAATGCATTGGAATGTAAAGTTGTGAACAATTTTGCAGTGCTGTTAACTTTTTAATGCACTAAAAAAATGAACTTGTTTGTGATTAAGGTGCTGCCCAGCACCTGTTTATTCAGTGGAATTAAAGCTCTTATCTTCCAGTTACCTTCACAAAGACGCTATTGTCTCAAGTTTTGATGAATGCAAACTGAAAACACTCCCAACAGCATTTCTTTGTGACACATTGGCAAACCTTTAATGTAGGCTGAACATTCTCGCAAACTGTTAATTCTAATCATGATTTATTGCTCTGCCACTTGTGTTGTGACTGGAGAAACCTGCCAGGAGAAATAGAAAAGGGTATTTAAACTGCTTTCTGTTTGTCTTCTCACTGCACCTGAAGATTTATCAGACCAATAAAGTGGATATTTTTTTAATGATTCTAACACATCTCTTCTATTCCTGTTATTAATAAGTTTAAATTTAGCATAGTTTTTTTGCAGTCAAAACGGCTTGTCTACTTCCCTTGACATGATTACGGTTAATTATTCTAAAGGTACGATGAGGGTTTTGTTTAAAAGCTATATACTATATGCAGTTATGCATTTTGTGAAACACGTGGCTCACTGTACAGCTCATATCCAAAGCCAAAAAGCAATCTCCTTGGCTAGAAAAATGACATAAATCTACTGCCTGTCATGATTTTTTTTTTTTGGTTGTTCTGTTTCTGTGGGGGATTAATCATACAGAATACATTTTTATGGTCAAACTTACACAAGTTCAGATGTATAATTGCATTTTCATTAATAACCATCCACCACTAATAAAAGGTGAGTATAGGCCAATTTGGGACAAGATAAGACATGTGTTTTCTAAGCATCGTCAGATTTCTGGTAAATTTCTAGTTGGATAGTTGACTACTCCTCATTAAGAAAAAAAATACATTTCATATTCACGGATTAATTTCTTTGCACAGAATCAGCTTTTTCTAGGAGTGCTCCATAGCTGCTCAGTAGTTTTTAAACCAGCCCTTTTTTGAAAGCAATTCTAAAAGCATTTGATTTGTCTTCTTTATATGATACAAAAGCATTTATTGTTTGTTTTGGATCTTTTTCCTGTTTTGAGTTTAATCTGTAAAAATTCCTTACCATCTGAGCTAACCCCTAGCCCCAAATAAACACACTGAGAGGCCATACGCTATCTGGAGTAAGATTTCAAGGTCATGGTAGACTACAATGGTTAGAATAACGAAAAGTATGCAAAAATAGGTGCATGAATAAACCCAAGAAAAATCCAGCAACTAACAAGTTGGTTTTGGTAGCATAATGATGAGGGTCTGTGTGTCTGTCAATGTCATGGGAAATAATGCAGCAGTGAAATTATTTGGCTTCACCTTAATGAAAGTTCTACAGGATTGAAACATTGTCACAATTTGATATTATAATAGGAAGGATTCCATGGGCACATTTAAATCAATTACAAAATGGGTAAAGAATGAAAACTTTAAGCCAACTAATGTGATATTTCTCCAAGTTGCCACGAGACATTATTGGGTTGTATGCATAAACATGAATGCACAATTATAATCCTGAGTAAAAAAGAGAAAATCTAATTCTTTTACTCATGATTTCAATCGTCACCTGCACAGGTTTGTTATGTTGTTATCTTTTAATAAATTCATGAAATAAAATGTATTATATTTAAGTTGATAGCTGCATAATCAGAAAACCCATGTTTTTTTTCAATTAGAACTTTCATTCAAACTGAAAATATATCTTTGTAGTTGCAAAACAAGCAAAAGAGGAAGACCCTGGAGATGATACTTGGCTATAGTGTAGAAGGACGTGGAGGCGGTTGGTCTAACAGTATAGGAGGCAAAAGATATGGTAATGCTGCGTTCACACCGGGGGCAGCTGGCGCGACAGAAGCAGCGAGTTTACATGCAAAGTCAATGGTTGACGCGCGTCAAGGCGCAGCAAAAGGTCCCGCGGCGCGTTTGGAGCAGCAAGCGCAGCGCGTCGGGCGCGTTTTGGCATCTGACGCGCGTGACGCGCCGCAAACGCGNAATGTGATATTTCTCCAAGTTGCCAAGAGACATTATTGGGTTGTATGCATAAACATGAATGCACAATTATAATCCTGAGTAAAAAAGAGAAAATCAATCTAATTCTTTAATTCAGGATTTCAGTTGTCACCTGCACAGGTTTGTTATGTTATCTTTTAATAAATTAATAAATTAATGAAATAAAATGTAAACTGAAAATATATCTTTGTAGTTGCAAAACAAGCAAAAGAGGAAGACCCTGGAGATGATACTTGGTTATAGTGTTGAAGGACGTGGAGGCGGTTGGAGGCAAAAGATATGGTGAGATGAAAACAGCTGATTTGCTGCAGCTGAAAGAGGGAGGAGAAAACAGTTTGGAGTGAAAATGTATCACACGGTGAAGAGGAATAGATCAGCATTTACAACATAATGTTTTCTGCTGATGTATCTCAAATCATTTAGTATGTATGATGTAGACACAGAAGTACCTTATGCTAAATGCTGGGGATTTTCTTTACCAATCAAATAACAAAATCCCCAAAGGGCTTTTTCACATGTAGAAACTGATTTCAGTTTAAGCTGTAAAGACAGTTGTTGTTTTTTTTTATATCAGTCTAAGTCCAGCAAGTCACTTCCTTTTTTTAATGTGATTCACTGTCGATGTCTATGTAGAATAGAGGCTTCATTCCTATGAGGGAAGGAGTGTGGGTGGAGGTGCTGAGGGTGCGGCCATCGTTTGAGGATTTGCATATTGGCTTTCTTTGCAGCTAATTAAAACAAAGCTAAATGAATCCTGCTCCAGGTTCTTGGTTTTAACAAGTTTTGTCAAGCTTCATAAAGATTTATTAAAAATTTTATCTGAGTGAGACAATATACATACATAGATGGCGCTCTCACTGATGTTTTGTAACTCGAGCTTCATGGCATCTTTATGGATCTGCTTATGGTCAACAACATTAGCATGTCCACAATACATTTCTCTGCTTGTCTACCTCCCCTGCTTCTTTTTTTTTTTATTTTTTTTTCACACGCATGCATATAAACACAACTATTGGAAGAGGGGGGGCGGGTGACCTCTATGCAGCTCTCAATTCACTGCACTTCTATAGCTTTGAATGGAGCGGCTCAACAAAAGGTGACATAATTTTCTCAGGGTTTGATTGGCCCCCTCCATGCCACAAGATGACATCATATAGCACCCACAGCAACACATTAAAACTACCACCAGTACCCTCACCCCTCTCCTCCTAGATGGGTTGTAAAGACAAGAGTGCTGGGCCTGGGCGGTGGGGCAGGATTTGGCAATAAACTGCATTGCAGCGTGGCTGTCCATAATGAGCCCAGGCAGCGCCGCTCTTGTGTTTGTGGTAAACAGTCTTGGGAAATGATACAGAAGGACGGAAAGAAGAGGGGCGGGGTTGTGAAACACATTTTTGGATATAATCACTGATTTCTCTTGAAGCTTTTAAGTTAAGGTAACGTTAGGCAGACAGAAAATGGAACAAACTTATTCACACATTTTATTGACAGCCAACATAACATGGACTGTTGACTTCTCTATTTAAAGCAGACCAATAAGTTGTCATGAGCAACATTTTATTTAACTTGAAAGGATGGGAATATCTAGAGCTTCCTTAGAGTCTGTGTAAAAACATCACCACATAATCATAGAGAACTATATAAGTACCAAAGCTATGATGTGAATTAAAAGTGTGTCCATCACAACCAAATTTAACAGTGTAATGATTTTTCAACTTGCTTTTTATGGCTTCCTATTAGTTTCTGAACTCTCTATTCTAAGAATTGGGCAATTTTAGGTATATGAGACGTGAGAACTGATCAGCCAATCAGAGACAGACTTGGAAATGTAAAGGATATAAAAAAATAGGTTCAAAATTATTTTCAACTGCATTCCTTTAAGTAAAAAAAAGAAGATAAATTATATGAAAATATTCTTGACAATAAAAACCTTTCGCAACTTAAAGCATTCTTAACATGCAAGTTTAAAACATGTAATACTTTTATAGAGAATTAAATATTAAAATTGAATTTTTTAAATCTTTCTTTCACTTTATATTTTTGAGGGTTATGGTGTCATTCAAATTTTGCAGCGCTAAACCACTTTAAGTATAGACAAATGTTTCTTTAGATCTTAATCTACTGTAGGTACAGTATAAAATTGCCCCTTCATTATATTTAAAGGATATAAAATACAGAAAATAGGCAAGCTGACAATTTTTTTCAACTGATATGAATGGTAAACATATGATTTCTTGTTTTTCTTCTCAAACTTGTTCTGTTTGTTTTTAATTATGCCTGTTTGTTTCTAGAGTCAAGAGTCAGACTAATTGTTGTTTACTACATTGAATTACTTTTATTTGATAATGAACTACTTTTATTTTCCTGTCCATAATTTTAAGATATAGGAGTATTTTGCATTCTTCCCTATTCAATCAGTTTATATATATTATGAGGTCATGGTCTTTCTAAAGTCTCAAAATCAGGAGAAGTACCACTGGCTGACAAAATGTGTAAAATTTACCAAAAATGCTCATTTTTATGTTGGTGTTCATCCATTACCCTTACAGATCATATTAGCATCACTGACATACAAGTGGCCACTTCCTCTTGGAAATGTCATTAATGAGGATAATTTAAAGTGAGGTTAACATGCTGCCCAGAGCCAAACCCTGTTGGTTCCCAACACTCCTACAGTATAGATGCCTTTAAACACACTCCAAACCATTTCCTAAAATTGGTGTGGTATTCAAAGGGAAAGAAAAATTACGAAATTACCGCTTGGTTTTGGAACCGGTCCATGCTTCATGTTGATTGTTACTTTTTTTTGCATTTAACAGTCTTGTGAGATGCATGGTATTGCTTGTGTTGGTGTACATTCAACCTGTTTAAATATTTTCTTTTGTTTCTTCTTCCAAACTGCTCTCTGTCCATCCTGACTATTATATTTCCCATAAAGAGGTCCCTCTGGAAGTACTTTTTTTTTTCTCTGTTCCTACTGTTTCCTCTGCGTAGTGTGATTAACTCTTGGTAGCCTCCTCTTTGGACTTGCTTGGATAGTAGAACTGCTCTCGTGTTAGTTTTTTAAACTTGGAAGAGCACTGACTGGGTATTGGTTACTTTTGGCATGAAGAGGATGCGTGGGCTGCCAGTGTCTATGACGCTGAAACACTCAGTTCTTCCTGCATGAGAGAAATGGTGGGAATCTGTTTCTTATTCATCGCTATATAATTTTTCCACAATTGTTCTTTAAAAAGGTTTGAGGTTGATTTTTTTCCAAAATCTTTTTGATTGCTCTAGTGCTTTTAGAATTAACCTTGACTTTGTAATAATACTTCCACCAGAAAAACACATGTAAACAACCTGGTTGTCAAATAGTGTTACAATTAAAGTTTTGAAAATGTGATCTGTTTATTAGTATTTACTCCCAACCTTAAAAAACAAAATTCCTAACATTATTTCAACATTATCTTAACGTAAAAATTTTAAGGAAATATATATTAGGGATAAGGGATCTAGGTGGGTTTGCAGTTTTTTGTGTATTTATTAAGAAAAAAATGCGATTTTCCATATTTCTGTATATTTACAGATGATAAACTGACCACTGCCATATGTGACGTTTGAATGTTGGGATGTTTGATTAGCTTTAGCTCTCTCCACATCTTTATTGCTCTCGTGCTTTAATTGTTCTCTATGATGTTTATTAATGAGGTTCTCTGATGTACCAATTAGGCCTACTATACACCTCTATTTATACTGATGAAATTTACAAGTGGATTCTGGTTAATTATTAGGGGACAACTGGAGGGCATTTTATCCTCTAATCCATGTACCATTTTCCTTTCAGTTTACAATCATGCACTAATCTATGTTGCCCGATTAAAATCCCCTAAAATACGTTAGGCGGGTGCAAAAACCCCTGCAATGCGCTGTACTTCCCTAATAGTCATAAAAGGCACAGTGTCATGTCTTCTGTATAAATGGTGTGGGTTTTGATTTGCAAGCTAACATGGTTGAGGGATCTGCATGGCAATCAGTCCTTGAGTCTTACCCACTTCATCAAATCGCCTCCGTCACTCTAGTCTAATCCTCACTGAGACGGAAAAGGGGGAGACTCGGAAAGCAGAAGAGGATGAGGAGGAGGGGAGTGACAAAGCAGGCCAAAGGCTTCCCTGACATCCATGGGAATCTGCAGATCCATTCATTGGCAATTATCGACATCAATGCAGAGAGGCAGCGGCAAGACGAGTGGCGGGGGCAATGGGGTGTGGGAGAGTTTTGGAGGGTGGAGTTAGGCATAATAAAGACAGCTGGGGGGAGGGTCTGTCCAAGAGTGGAATAATGGTGGAGTTGGAGAACCAATGGGATTCAGTGAGAGAGAAAGTGAAAGAGGTGATGGTGGTGATGTAGGTTTGATTATAATTGAGGGAAGTATGACGCCAGACTGACCTTCTGAGCAGGCACATTTTAATTTGGGGCAGCATTTCCCATTTTCT